AAATATATATATATATATTCAAAAATTTAAAAACAAAAATATTAATAATTTAATAAACTTATAATAATGACGATGATAAAAAAAATAATTTAAAAAATTTACCTGTTTGTAAATAATTCAAATATGAAGAACAATCACAAAGCGGACAATGTTGCATGAAATTTTGGTGATTTGGCCATAGGAATCCAACCTCCGAAATTGGGACCTCCCAATTTCTCAATATCAATACACAGAATATTTAAATTAAATTTTTCACTTGTTACTTCAATCAATCTTTTTTCAATATTTTCCCCTTAAAATATATATAAAATAAAATCTTCTTACAATATATAAAATTTCATTGTGGTGAAACCAGACTTCACCATCTTTTTTTATGATATGCTAAAAATAAACTGTGGAGTTTGTTCCAGAATCTAAAATTTTTAAAATATTTTTTGAAGAAATCATTGAGTTTAATTTTAGGGTTGTAAATGTTATATACTCCAAAATCATCGTGATTGGATATGTTTATATACCCAACCTGTCTATACAGGAACTTGTTATCATATAATCCAGCAACATTTTTATTTTTAGGCTGAAATATTCACAATCAATTAATACACTTTGAGCTCCTCTGACTTTGAATTAAAGTATTATTTTTTTTAAAATGTATATAAATACATATATAAATATAAACTTATAATTCATTTTCCTTCGATATTGCAATCTGATGTACTGTATCAATGATACTTACAAACTAAAAACTTGGTGACAGTTATTCAAATTAACTCATATTTTTATACTAAGTTTCAGAATTGAGCAAATCACATATGTATTAAACATTTTATAAAATATTTTAAAATAAATACAGTCAAAATGTAAGTTTATTATACACAGATACTGATTCACTAACACTTCAAATTTACACCAATGATGTTTACCATGAGTTTAAATCATTTCATGATATCTTTGATTTTAGCAACTATTAAAACATTCATAAATTATATAATGTAACAAGCCAAAATAAATTAGGATATTTTAAAGATGAAATTTTATCAAAGCCAATAACTGAATTTTGTTCATTAATACTAAAAATGTATTTTTATATTTTTGACAATCAAAAATAAAAAAACAGCTAAAGGAATTAAAAAATCTGTTGTAAAAACTTTGTCATGAAAAACATAAAGAAGTTTTATTCAATACTGAACTGTTAAGACATCAACAATACATAATTAAAAGTAAAAATCATGTAGTGACAACATATCTTCAGAACAAAATCTCTCCCCCCATTTTACGATAAAAAGTTTATTTCAGATAATAGGATAGATGTAATATCATTTGGTCATTCTACCTTTTACTTTTAATTCTTACAGATTATTTGATATCATCATCCTTTCAATATGGATATTTAATATTATACAAGAAAAAACAAAATTCTGAAATTTACTTAATACATGGTGTTTGCATTAAAGCATATCCTTGCCTAAAACAGGCAGCATCATTAAAATTACCACAAAATAAAAGATATGAATGTAAAATTTTTGTAGTAAGTAATAAGATAACAATATCATTGTGCAATAAAAATTTTATAAAATGTAATTCTATTAATTGTAATAAATAAATATTTTCTTAGAAATTGTACTAAAAAATGTTAACCAATATTGTTAGTATTTTTTGTAAAAATCATCATTATAACCTCTATTAAAATGTGTGCTGTATTTTATATTGTATCAGTTGATTTTTGACTGGGAAAAATTATCACGTTGACCAATAATACTAATTTCATCTATTGATGAAAATAGTATTCAACATTTCAAAAATTAAGTGCAATGTTATAAGTCAAAAAAGTGACTTAACTCACAATTTCATTTCTGAATTCACATATAATTTAAACTGGGAATTAATATGGAAAATTTATATATTTCCTACTTCATTCATTGAAAAACATATTAGACACACAAAATGGGATTTAATTTCAGAGCATTAAGTATTAGACGAAGAATTCATGAATAATTTTTCAAAATACAGTGGGTGATCGGTTAACGAACAGATCGGACAACGAACAAATCGGATAACGAACACTTTTGCGAAAGATTTTTATGTTTGGACAACGAACACATAATTGGATAACGAACACCCCACAGAACAAACACAAGAAGAAGCGACGTAAAATAACGAATACTGATTGGACTTTCCTTGTCTTTGAGCAACAATTTGAAACTTTTCAGAGTGTGGGAGACGTCGAAATCTACGCTCAAGCCGGTATATACCGATCGGATAGTATTCCTCCAAACTTTAAAACTCTCCCTTATAATTCCAGCCTTTTATTTTTAAGAGACAATAATTCTTTTATGTATAAGTGAGACTGTCGGGTAGGCACTCTTTAAGTTTTGCGTCTGTTTTTTTTTTTTGTAAGGTGAGAATATAATAGCAAAAGGTAGAGAGTTGACAGAAGATGCCTAATGTTGCTGGGCAGTATGGCGTTATAAGTCTACAGTAGGCTGCAGTTCATTTTTTTAAGAAAAATACTGTATAATCAAGAAGACTCAAGCAGCTAAACAAGTAACAAAAATCACATCTGAGAAATATAGAACATCGAAGAGTTCATAATGGAACCTGAAACGGATCTGACGACAGAAGAATGCCATGAACTCTTGAATGAAGAACACCAAGAAACTCGGCGAGATATGTTTTCTTCTGAAAAAGAGGATTAATGCCGATATCTGTTATTAAAGATCCTTTGAAGAAGTGTGAGGATGTCAGAACAACGGTCTTAGAATGGCATCCAAACCAGGTTGAGGCTTAAGGATTTCTACAATTGCAATGCTATTAATTACTTACGAAAAATCCTGAAGAAGAGAGAAAAGCAATCGACATTAAACAGATTCTTTAACCCTTTCACACTGAAAAAACATGACTAATAAAAATGCAAGACTGTGTACGTATGTATTTTTATTATTATATATAAATAAACGTATTAAGAAAGTATATATTTTTTATTTTGGGGAGTCTCCAGAACGAATTAATTAAATTTCCATTAAAACCTATGGTAAATCGATAATCGGTTAACGAACAATTCGGATAGCGAACAAAGACTGGGAACGGATTATGTTCGTTAACCGATCACCCACTGTATAATAAAATAGTGAAATTTCAAATTTTCCCAAATAAATTTGTTAAGAAGTATATATGTAAATTAGATATGAGAATAGTTTTAAAATATCAGCGGTTAAAAAACAACACTCTATATGAGCTATAAGATTATCTACATTGGGATTTAGTTTACTGTTATCATATACTGAACAAAGATTTCATTCATGATTTCAAAAATCACCTTTCTTGATATTATGTTTTAAAATATCAAAAACTAAATCAGAAATTTATTGCTGCTAATTCACATAGTTTATTAGTCAATATAATTCATGATATTTGTAACATTCTTGGTGATATGATAGAAAAATTAAATAAATTCAAAGGAGAAGAATAAAATTAAAAAATATACTAAATTTTCTATGGTTAAAATAAATTTGAAGATATAGAATACAAACATGTTAATTGGAAAATATTATCTACTTCATGATATGATAGAAAAAATTAAATAAATTTGAAGAAAAAAATATAATACCTAAAATTAAAATAACATATACCCCCCATAGTATATATCGCATCACTACTACTTACTGTTCACAAAAACTTATTTCATACAATCTGAAAGATACATTTTTCTCAGTTTTAACTTTTTTGAGATGATGCTACTTTCAATATTTTTCTAATTGGTGTTTGATGAAACAAACTCCAAAAATCATCCACATCCCACTCAAATTTGTTATCAATTATTATTTTATCTATCTATATTAATGGTAGATTAAATTCATTGGCTTTGTTATATTATTTAGTTTAATAAGAATAAAGCATATCTGGCTTAACTTGTTGCAGATAATAATACCAAATTATGTACATTCCCCATAATAGGACCAAATATGAGGAAATGGGAGTTGAAGTTGGCAGAAAAAATTGGGATAAACTTCTGCATCAAATGCAATAATACAACATATTCAACATTATATATTTTACATGGCTATGGTTTTGATTTCATCATTCTGAATGGGCTAATGAAACTGGTTGATTCAAAGAGGGTATTTTACACAAAGAGATTATGAATGCAGATGGTCATTGGTTAGCTTAAGGAGGATTAAAAACAAGTACTATGGATTAAAAATTCTATTCTAAGAAAATATGGTCATCTGGAAAGATTTTACTGTACAGTACATTCATAAATATTAGAACTTTTTAATAATAAATGTAGTGAAAATTAACAGCTGAATTAAAAATTAACAATTCATACCTCCTCATCTAATTTATCATCAGGTACAACTTTGCTTACTAACCCACATTTCAAAGCATCTAAATTAAAAATTTACAAAATTTTATAATAAACTAATGCTAATTTGAATTTATATATGTATACATATAAATGGCATGATCAATAATCTTAAAAGTTTCATAAAGTTTCAACAAATAATAACAAACTACAAACATTAAGAATTTGTATTCAAAAACATCAAATACAGCATAACAATGTTGATATAACATATGAGACATCAGCATTTAGAAAATTCAAATCCAAAACAGCAGCACCACTGGAAATCTGCCCTAATGAGATAATTTTCTTGGTTGCATTGGTTAATTTTCTTGAAGACATCAAGCCAATTCATCATGGAATGTTCATGAAATATGGAATAAGTTGTCTTTCAAAACAGCAAGTGTCAAGAATGGAATGGTCAAGGAAATTTAAGAATGGTGCATAGCACACAAACCTCAGTTGAGTCATCTGAAAATGATAAACTCCATTGAAGCCACTATACAAGAGGACAAATGCATCACGGTGAAATATCAAAAGAAATGGACATAAATTATGGATATGTACAGTATGTCATCCATAATGTTTTGAAATTCAGGATGGTCAGAAAGATGGTACCACATCATCTCACAGATGAAATGAAGTGGTGATTTGATGAGTGTATCACTTTTCTAAAGAGATGAAAGGAAGGTGATGCTTTTCTTAAGTTTCATCTATAGTCATTATATAAATATGTTTATTATTACCAATCAGAGTGAAAGAGAGCAAGCAAAACCTACCATCAATCATCATCACTGCAATCCAAAAGATTTTGCACTCAACATTCTACAGAAAAGGTGATGCTGACTTTAGTTTGGAATAGAAAATCATTTTAGTGGACTACATGAGATGAAATGAGGCACTATGACTAGCAGAACCTATAGTTCATTTCTTGTAACAAATCAAGTCCAGCAATATTGCATAAAAGATGCAAATTGTTGTCAAAGGATATTCTTTTACAGCATGACAATGCTTGCCTCTCATACTGTGAATCTGACAGTCATCACCAGAGAAGAGCTGAATATGGAATGTTGCTAAATACTCCATATTCATCTGACCTTGCTCCCTGAAATTATTATTTGTTTGGTCCTGTCAAGGAGACTTTAAGTGAGTACTATTTCAAGTGCATGATGTGACACATAAATAGCTCATAGCTCAAAATGAAGATTTTTTCTTGGTATAGAGAAGCTGGGGCCATATTCTAATCATCATCTCTCATCTTTGAGACAGTGTCTACATCACAAGTCAGTCACTAATTGACTAATGACTCGTTTATGTCTTGAAAGATCATCATGTCTCACCAAATGTGATTCTGGACAACTTTTTCTGATAAAGATTCTCTCGTCTCTCAGAGATGAGTGGATAGTCATCTTTCGACTGGTCTTTTGTCTTCTGCCTTGATTTTGTTATATCCAATATGGACGACTATACTGTTACTCACCTTATATAACCATATTAGGAACATTCTCTATCTCAGAAAATAATATTTTGAGATAGATAACACTTATGATTTTTTTAAGTGACTACTTGGGAACACCACTGACTGCATCTTTTTTTAACGATCCTGCATCAATTTCTGAACTATTGAATATGCTGTTAACCTTATCCATTTCTCTAAGTATTTTTCGAAATATTACCCTTCTAATTTCTCCCTAAGTATATATGCTTTTCTAACTTAGGTTAATAAAATTTTTATTTGTTAAGAGACAATGTTACCCGAAACATTTTGATATTATGATATTTAAAATTGTTACAAAACAAAAAACATATATTTATCAAAATTACGTGCTTTATTTGATTGCATGCTTTCCTTACCATGTGATCTATAATTTTGTACTCTTCATTTTCAAAAACGTTACAATTTCACTGGTTAAAATTCTATACTGTGTTGAACACACAGATAACCCAAACATGTATAATCAACCTAATAGAATTGTGATGTCAACAACAAAGACAAGATTGTTATTACACAAACAACCAGAATCGCTGTTATCTCTGAGAGACACATTTTCTCTCTCATTGTGACATCATTCATCTCTGAAAGAAGAGACGAAAGATAAGTGATCAGAATACGACTCCTGGTATTGCATTTGGAGTATTGTATAGAGAGACAAAGAGAGTAGGGGAGGATTGGGATGAAAAGGACAGCCTCCATAACTTGCTGCTAAATTACTTATGGAGCTTCACTATTTCATGGATAGATGACACTAGTAGTCCATAGTTTTCACACGTTTGTAGGGTCCAATACATAGTGCTAGTGTTTGGAATGCTTAGATGAGCAGAAAACTCCTGCAAAAATAAGTTTTCTTCATTTCTTACATTTAGATAATTACTTAATAAACGTATTCTAGAGGTTTCAACCTCTAGAATATGTTTATTTAATCAGTTTTAAATTATATTTCACTGTCAGAAAGTTAAGTTGTAGTTTTGGTTGTTTGAGGCCTGGGGGGTTGAAAGGGACAGTAAAATAGGGAATGAATGGGACATTTCCCTTTCAACCCCATATTGACATTTTTTGGCATGTTCTAATACTAAATTTTTTTAATAGAAAAAAATGCCTCAAAAGTATAAGAAAAAGAAACAGAAAGAACATGTGACACCAGAAGTGATTCAAGGGGCAATAATTGAAGTTGTTGAAAAAGAAGCATCAATCAGGGCTACAGCCAGTGCCCACAGAATTGCAAAATTGCATTTGGCTAGACTTGTTTCAAAATGTAAAAAAGACAATGTAGTGTATTCACCTCATGTGGGTAACAGGAAAGTTTTTACTACAGAGCAGGAGGCAGAATTAACATCATATTTAATGCAAGCATCATCAATGAATCATGGTTTAATGACACTGCAAATGAGGGTATTGGCTTTTCAATATGCAAAACTTGTACAATCAAATACAATTCCTAAAACCTGGTTTACTAATAACTAGACAGTAGACATCTAGGCACTTAATAGTGGTGTCTTAGGCACTTAAAATAAGCTGTTAAATTGTGTCATTTAGGCTTTATAAAGAAAAAAAATAGGCAGTCAAAATTTGCACAATGAACAATTAACATACTTATCAGGATGATGAATTTTTTATTTAACATATGTATTCCAAACAAAAATGCACGTATTCAGAATGACGCAAACACAAAAGTAGAGAAACAATTATCTTTACATTTTTTATTCACTCTGTTTCCCATAGTTAGCTTCATAATATATTAAAAGCACTTTTTCCAAATTTTCAATAGAATGTTTGTAATGTTTGTCACTGAAAATTAATTTATATGCAGAGAAAGAGCAAATAATTGTTAAGATAACAAACAGTATTTCAACCTTGAAAGAAGATGAACTGGGAATTCACTTTCAGTTTTGCTCTTCTTTCCTGCCAAAATATCAGCCACAATAAACAAGCACCTTAATCCAAGTCTCTTTTGAAACACTGCTTTCAACTCTTTCTTCACTTTTTTTGCCGTAGTGCCTGGTGCATCACAAAGTTTCTGGTTTGCTCTGTTGAGGAGATCAATTTGTTCATATATAGGTTTCCCACTACTTTCAAGAGCAGTAATAGTATCTATAATGAATGTGAAATAACACTTGATGTACACCAACTTGTTCTGAATATAAATGTCATTCAAAAGTTTTTTGACTTTAGTTACACAAACTGCATTATCTGCTAAAGTGTCCAGAAGCTTTTTGATATCAAAGAAATGTTCACTGTAGTAGTTAGTACAAAATCTTAGCCATGTATATGCTAAGGGAAAAATAGGCATTTGCCTAAAATCCGCCATCTAAAAATGACAAAGCATCTCTAATGCTATATTTATTAAATAAAAGCATTTATTTTAAAATATTTCACATAGTTTTAATTTTATTACTGTAAAATTGCATCAGGGATGTAATTTATTTCTGTATTAATGCTTTCTAATTTTTTCTGCTTGGGATATGCATCCGCTGGGACTTAAATATAAGTAATCAATAATAATAAAAAAAATGAATTTGTTTGACTGCATTTTCAGAAAAAAAATAAAACTTAAGTAGTTTAGTTTAAGAATTAAAGTAAACCTTTGCAGAAAATGAAACGAAAAATTAATAAAAATATTTTAAAAATATGAAAACAGACTAAACTTTATGTTTTAGGCAAAAATAGGCAGCAACATCAAAATAAGCATTTTTAGGCATTATAAAATGCCATTGTTTTGGTCTAAATGTTCATGAAAAGTGTTCATACAAAATCTTAGCCGTGTATATGCCAAGGAAAAAAATAGGCATTTGCCTAAAATCTACTGTCTACTAATAACCAAGCCAGTTTAGATTGGTTGCAAGGCTTTATGACCAGGAATAAGAATTTGTCTATAAGAACACCTGAAGTGACAAGTTTGGCCCGAAGTACAAGCTTCAATAAAACAAATGTCAGGAACTTTTTCAAGAATCTAGATGTTATGAAGAGATATAAATTCACTCCAGACAGAATATATAATTGCGATGAAACAGGTTTCACTACTGTTCACAAACACCCAAACGTCATTTCTAAAAAAGGGGAAAAGCAAGTAGCCCATATGACTTCTGGTGAAAAGGAGCAGTTAGTTACTGTTATTTGTTTCATAAATGTGATGGGAAATGCATTGTCCCCTGCATTTGTATTCCCAAGACTTAATTTCAAGGATTTTTTGCTGGCAGGAGCACCTGCTAAGTCTTGGACTAGCCCATCAGAGTGGCTGGATGACAGCTGAAAATTTTTTAAAATGTTTGCAGCATTTCTCAAATTTTGCTGGGTCATCTACAAGCAATAGCCATACAGTACTCCTAATTTTGGACAATCACAACAACCACATTTCTATTGAATCGATAAAATTCGCCAAAGAAAACGGAATAGTGCTGCTAACTCAACCTCCACACACCAGCCAGCAACTGCAGCCACTGGATGTTGCCGTCTATGGATCATTGAAAAGCAGATACAATGTTGCTGCAAACAACTGGATGATCAATCATGCTGGCAAATCTATGACGATTTATGATGTCCCTGCTCTTGTTATCGAGGCCTTTGATGCATCTCTTACACGAAACAACATTTTATCAGGTTTTGCAAAGATTGGAATATACCCATTCAATAGTGAAGTTTTCACAGATGATGACTTCCTGCAATCTGAAGTTACTAATTGCCCTGATCCAGAAAATCCACCCACGACCGTAACACCAATAGCATCCACTTCCACTTCTGATGTGCCTACTACATCTTCTGTGTCCAAGACACTTCCCATTTGTCCTCAAGCGTATACAAGCGGAACAAGTGTTCTTTCACCTCAGCTTGTCAAACCGTTCCCAAAAGCGTCTGCACAGAAAACAGCAAAATCTAACAGAAGAGGCTCAACAAGGATTCTTACTGATACTCCTGAAAAAGATAAAATTCAGCAAGCATTCACGGAAAAAGAGGCAAAGAAGCAAAAGAACGAGTCCAAAGAAAGGAGGACAAAATCTAAAAAGCAGTGGTTGCAATATATTCCAGAAGAAACCGAAAATGAAGATGAAGGATATCAAAGCAGCTCTTCCTCAACATCTGATGCAACAATGAGTGAGGGATCTGATATCGAAAACAGTGTCAAACATGTTCAGCCCAATGATTTTGTTTTAGTCAGATTTGCAAAAAAAACTTCTGTTGTTTACTTTGTGGGAAAAGTTTTGAAGAAACTGAGCGATGAAGACTTGAAAGTCAAGTTTATGAAAAAAATATTGGGATGTTTTCAAGTTTATATTTCCTGAGGATGATGATATCAGTGATGTCATCATGGAAGATATAATTCTAAAGCTACCTCATCCATTCCAAGCAGGAGGAACAGCAAGAGCAAGCAAACAGTTTACATTTCCCATTGATATCACCTCATATCGGCTGCGATAGATTGCGAAAAACATTCTATTGACCAAAGAAAGATGGTTTAATTATGTGATAGCCTACTGATTGTGATATTCTTTAATTATTGTTCTTTGTTTGAAAAGATTTGATAATCTTTAACTGTTTAAAATAAATGTGATGTCACATAATTCTTATTATTGAAACTGTAATTTTTAAAAATTTTAGTCTCTAGCTATCACTTTTCAGTTACAACAGAATTTGAAAACATCGAGATAACTAATTTCAAGTTTTACATCAAAACTCAGGTAGTCCCTTTCATCCCCGAGGGTGTCCCTTTCAACCCATATGTGGGAATGAAAGGGACACCTGGAGAGGTCTTTAAAAATATGAACATGCTCAACTACCAATATAATAGGATGAATTCACAATATGGTCAGAATAAAGTAAAGGTCTAATGAATCTTTTGCACTAAAAATAAAACTGATTAGAAGTAAATTTTTTCAGTGAAAAATAAAAATATGAATTTTGTCCCTTTCATCCCCACCCTCCACTACAGTATGTTGAAGAGCAACAAGTTTAAAAAAAATTGTCAATAAATATTTGTTTATTAGCACTTTTAAGGTTACTTATTGATCATTCCTCATATATAATGCAAATTACCAGTGGCATTTATTGCAAGACCAGTAAACAACATGTAAGATGACATTTTTCTCGGTACTGCACGAGCCACTGCAATACCTGGTGTTGAACAGAAAAGGCCAACAGAAGCTCTATAATAGAAAATAAACACATCTTGGAAATTCAAAATAACAATAAATTAAAGTATTAATCTAATTTTGATTCTATTACTTAATAATTATACAATTGAATTAAAATATGATATATCATATTTTAAATATTTTTGTCTCCAACAATATAACAAATTTCAATCAACTTATCAGTTTTCATAGATTTAATCTTGCATTTTATCAACAGGTGCTTTAACAGGAGTATTTTTTATCACCAAAATCAACCACAGAAATGATACCCATTTTTCACTTGGCTGACAACTATTTGTGTTTAGGCCAGCAACAAAATGTAGCCAAATTCAGCTGCAAATATGTGTTGAGAAGTGTAGTCACTGCATGGATTCTGACAAGGAAGCATATTTGTTTGTAATTTCTTTCTCCTGTGTTGTCATCATAGTAACATTCTAGGTGCACCCAATTATTGGAGTATGACAACAGTTTTCTCCCATGTTCTAATCTTCCTTATCCTATTGCTGAAGTTGTCATTCATGTAGTTCCATATTGCAGGTTCAGCTTGATCTCTGCAACTAACACGTTTTTATTAAAGGGCTCCATCATGGTAACTGATGTTGCTGAGACACAAATAAAAATTTGCCCCTTGTGAAAACAATAGCATTGCAGCTAGTGCAGTAGGATGTATTTAGTGGACAGAATAAGTGAAAATCTGCAGTATCAGTTTAAATCGAGTCAGAAAGAGAGGTTATACTTTTCCTGTTGCATTGTATGACATCTGTAAATGAGTGAGTGATATGCTACCACATACCAGTCACAAGAATTTTCTGCAGTAGATTTTGGAGACAAAAAATGCTAATGTAAAAGCATCCTATGGCAAGAATTTTGTTGGATTAAACAAAGAGAGTTTTTTAAACTCCTTTTATAAAAAGAATAAATATAAGTAGTGCTAAGAATAAATTTTAATAAAATGCTAATTAGTGCTAGACTTTCTACAGTTATTACAATTAATTTTAAGTGATCTAATTAAGGAAGAAAAAAAATTCATATCTATAAAATTTTATTTAATCATTTTAATCAAAGTGGAGTTTTAAGCCTAGATTAGACAAACAAACATTGAGTTGTTTTAAAAATTAAAAATTATTAAAAATTTATTACAATAACTCAATTTTTGTGGGCCCTTGACACTTGGGGGCCCAGGGCTTAAGCCCTATTAGTCTCTATGTAGATATAGTAACCAGAGTTAAGACGGTGTTGTGACATGCTGCTTCTTAAATAAGTTTGAAAAACTTTATTCTGCTGTTGTCATTGCCCATAAAGTTAAAAAAATGAGGCATGCTGCAATAATATCAGAGAACCTATTTGAGGCTACAGTGTGAAATAAAAATAGTTCAGCAACTTTGCTTATAGAAGTAATTTCTTTTACCTGAATATAAAAACACATTTTAAATCGAAGCAGTTGAGGTCCAAAACTAGGCGAATGTCAAAGGGATATGACGATTGTAACAATTCTGATTGTTCCATAATATTTTTTATCAGAAAACATGACAAGATATGCAAATGATAAGCCCTTAAAAAGTGTACATAATTGTTGAATGGATTGAAATCTAATAGTTAATTGATTAATTATTAAATCCACACAATTTTTTTTTTACAAATGTTTTTACAAGTTTTTATTTTGCCCTTTCTAACTTGGCATCCTCATGATTTGTACACTTGGAGCAGTTTGCCCCAACTGCTCCATGGTAGCTACACCTCTGCATGAAGGTGTTTCAAGTGAGTCCCAAGATATTAGCAGATGCCCAGAAACATTGTCAAATGGATATCTGTTTGGATTATCATCATCAGGGATTTGGATATTATCATCAGGAAGAAGAGAACTTTTTGAATTGCATTGTTGCAGTTGACAAAATGATGTGTAGATATTAACAGCCAGTGGCAAGCAATGCTCAGTGGAGTGTAAACATCCCTCATCACCATGTAAACAGAAACCCAAATGCATTGCCAGTTCCAATTCAGAAGTGCTAATGATCTTCAAGGACCTTTGCTGATACACCTCATGGAAAAAGGTGAAAGGCTGTTCTGAGAATCTAACGACATTTTTGAGACATGCCATAAAGAACTAGAAGCCTGGGTTACTTAGTGAAGGTGTCATTTTGATTCATGAAAATGCTTATATAGCTTATACAACAATGGACATAGTGCAGAGAATGTGATGGGAGGTTCTTCAGACTTTCCATATAGTCCAGATTTGTTGCCATGCAACTTGTGTGTGTTTGGGAAGATGAGTGACTGTGGAAAGTCATGTGTTCAAGATGAATGATGAGGTCTAGCAGGCTATCTGTAAGTGGTTCAAAGTACAGTAAAAGAACTTTGACCAAACCATAAAAAGTTTAGTGAGAGGATGGGATACATGTCTGAATAATTCTGGTAATTATTTCAAAAAAATTTGTGTTTATGTTCAATAAAAACATTTATCTCATTTTTTGACTAAACCTAGTAAATTATGAGATATTTAAAAGTTTTAGTTTAACAAACTTTTAAAAAAATATGTAATGAATTGATAATTCAAAAGATAATTTCAAATTAACAAACAATATTTATTAACATTGCCAAAACTTAAATTATTTCTAAAATAAAATAAAAAAATTAAATATCAATTGTTATTTATAAACAAAATTGGACTTTATTTCCAAATTTTATGTTACTAGATTAATCAGTTTCTCTATGATAATTGATATAATATCAGCTTGTCAGAGAAAAAGTTTTTTGAATGTCATCAATTTAAACAATTTCATGGAAAAATACCTGTTTCATTAATTAATTTTAGCTGTTTCTTATAATAAATGCATTATGATTCATATAAATTAATAAGAATAGTATGGAACTTGAATAATGATGATAAACTAAAATTTAACAAAAAAATAGCATACCCTGGTGTAGAAAATTTTGAATTCTCTGATGCAATAACAATATCACATGTTGCAGCCAACTGACATCCAGCAGCAGTAGCTAAACCTAAAGAATTAAAATTTAACTGTCATTTAAAACCACTTGAATTATATATTATTAAATATTTTAATAATAATCTAATAAATCAAAATAAGAACTTAGGAAAAATTACAGATTTCAAGTAAATATTATATATAAATTTATATATTAATGGGATCTATAATTTTATTTAATTATATGTTGAATGAATGCATATATAATTTAAATATATACATTCACAAAATCATTAGGTTAAATTAGATCAATTTTTGTGGTCTTGGATTAGATAATCAACAGATAATTTAAATCTTGCATTTAATGACAATTTTTTATTATAAAAAAACTACTACCAAATGACAAATGATTAATATTTAAATTTCAATATAAAATTTAAATAAAAATTTTAATGATTAAATAGTCAAACATCAGTTTTCAAACACCTCAGTTTTTGAACAATTGAGTTCACAAACAGAATTTAAAACTCATAATTGTACCAATTGTTGTATGATAACTTGATGAGAGACAAGATGGTCAACACACTAACTTCACACAGAACTTTGCTAATGGCTAAAATTATTCACTTCTACATCACTTGCAAGGCTTCATTTTTTACAAGAGAAAAATCTCTGTTTTAAGAACAAAATTTACCACTAAAAATGCTTGAAAGTTATCACATATTCAATAAATTGGTATCTAATTTTATGAAAATTATAAAACGTAACAAAGTCATTATACTGTTACTTTATTGCTTAGTGTAGCTTCTCTTTGTTTCTTTACTGGTTAATTTAAAGCAATCTCAAATATCTTATAAATAAGTTCTTCTAATTGGAGGTAAAATTCAGGTGAGTTAATAAGCATGTTTAAACGTTGTACAAAGTATGTAAATACCAATTGCTGTTCTTAGTGCTATCTGTCGGAGCTTAATAACATTGAAAGTAAAAATACGAAGCTGACAGACCATAGGATTATAAGACCTTGAAATTACAAAAGTCCATCTTGTCAATGCTAGTTTAAAAAAATTGTCATATCATAGTGATAATGTCTTACATTTACATCCATTATTATTCATAAAAGTGAAACCATTTTCATCATTTTTTTTATATTCCCAATTTTAATGATTGAGCATACCAAAGGATTAAGCTAAATCATTCATTATATCAAAATCCACTATACTGGGTAGTCACAATATTAAGAATCTGCTGTATTTAGATATTACAGATTATTAAAAATTATTCATATGTTTAACAGTGATATTCAATCTAGTATTTGAAATGCATTTAAAATTATGAAAATTACTATTTGCTTAATAATCATTAATTTCATAATTTAAAAACTAGTTTCAAAATTTAATTTATTTTGAAAATACCTTGTATCTGAGCAATAACAGGAAATGGAACTGTTCTAATGGCAGTCATTACTTCTGTACATCGACGAAATATTTCTTCATGATAATCCTTCCCAGTATTGGCTCTCTATTAAAAATAAACAAATTTAAGAAATTAATTACTTGAATGCTAGTAAAAATAATTTACTTTATAACTATGAAGTGTTCAATGAAAACAAAAACAAAATAAAAAAATTTCCTATACTTCTTCAAAAATTATCGAAAACTGTAAATACAGTAGAGCGTCATTTATCTGAAGGTCAGTTATCTGAAGGAATTTCAGTCGACAAATTTAAATTTTCGCCAGTGCTGTGACGCTGTAATCTTTGGCTATGTCTTCGGCTACTCAAATATTTTACGTTTTTGATACTAAAATAACTTCTGAAGTATAATTTTTTCTTGTTTTTATATTTTTCAATATATTTATTTTGTTTGTACAAAATAAAAAAATAATTTGTAACNGCACAACAAAACAAACAGTACAAACAGTTAAGATGACAAACAGTATTTCAACCTTGAAAGAAGATGAACTGGGAATTCACTTTCAGTTTTGCTCTTCTTTCCTGCCAAAATATCAGCCACAATAAACAAGCACCTTAATCCAAGTCTCTTTTGAAACACTGCTTTCAACTCTTTCTTCACTTTTTTTGCCGTAGTGCCTGGTGCATCACAAAGTTTCTGGTTTGCTCTGTTGAGGAGATTTGTTCATATATAGGTTTCCCACTACTTTCAAGAGCAGTAATAGTATCTATAATGAATGTGAAATAACACTTGATGTACACCAACTTGTTCTGAATATAAATGTCATTCAAAAGTTTTTTGACTTTAGTTACACAAACTGCATTATCTGCTAAAGTGTCCAGAAGCTTTTTGATATCAAAGAAATGTTCACTGTAGTAGTTAGTACAAAATCTTAGCCATGTATATGCTAAGGGAAAAATAGGCATTTGCCTAAAATCCGCCATCTAAAAATGACAAAGCATCTCTAATGCTATATTTATTAAATAAAAGCATTTATTTTAAAATATTTCACATAGTTTTAATTTTATTACTGTAAAATTGCATCAGGGATGTAATTTATTTCTGTATTAATGCTTTCTAATTTTTTCTGCTTGGGATATGCATCCGCTGGGACTTAAATATAAGTAATCAATAATAATAAAAAAAATGAATTTGTTTGACTGCATTTTCAGAAAAAAAATAAAACTTAAGTAGTTTAGTTTAAGAATTAAAGTAAACCTTTGCAGAAAATGAAACGAAAAATTAATAAAAATATTTTAAAAATATGAAAACAGACTAAACTTTATGTTTTAGGCAAAAATAGGCAGCAACATCAAAATAAGCATTTTTAGGCATTATAAAATGCCATTGTTTTGGTCTAAATGTTCATGAAAAGTGTTCATACAAAATCTTAGCCGTGTATATGCCAAGGAAAAAAATAGGCATTTGCCTAAAATCTACTGTCTACTAATAACCAAGCCAGTTTAGATTGGTTGCAAGGCTTTATGACCAGGAATAAGAATTTGTCTATAAGAACACCTGAAGTGACAAGTTTGGCCCGAAGTACAAGCTTCAATAAAACAAATGTCAGGAACTTTTTCAAGAATCTAGATGTTATGAAGAGATATAAATTCACTCCAGACAGAATATATAATTGCGATGAAACAGGTTTCACTACTGTTCACAAACACCCAAACGTCATTTCTAAAAAAGGGGAAAAGCAAGTAGCCCATATGACTTCTGGTGAAAAGGAGCAGTTAGTTACTGTTATTTGTTTCATAAATGTGATGGGAAATGCATTGTCCCCTGCATTTGTATTCCCAAGACTTAATTTCAAGGATTTTTTGCTGGCAGGAGCACCTGCTAAGTCTTGGACTAGCCCATCAGAGTGGCTGGATGACAGCTGAAAATTTTTTAAAATGTTTGCAGCATTTCTCAAATTTTGCTGGGTCATCTACAAGCAATAGCCATACAGTACTCCTAATTTTGGACAATCACAACAACCACATTTCTATTGAATCGATAAAATTCGCCAAAGAAAACGGAATAGTGCTGCTAACTCAACCTCCACACACCAGCCAGCAACTGCAGCCACTGGATGTTGCCGTCTATGGATCATTGAAAAGCAGATACAATGTTGCTGCAAACAACTGGATGATCAATCATGCTGGCAAATCTATGACGATTTATGATGTCCCTGCTCTTGTTATCGAGGCCTTTGATGCATCTCTTACACGAAACAACATTTTATCAGGTTTTGCAAAGATTGGAATATACCCATTCAATAGTGAAGTTTTCACAGATGATGACTTCCTGCAATCTGAAGTTACTAATTGCCCTGATCCAGAAAATCCACCCACGACCGTAACACCAATAGCATCCACTTCCACTTCTGATGTGCCTACTACATCTTCTGTGTCCAAGACACTTCCCATTTGTCCTCAAGCGTATACAAGCGGAACAAGTGTTCTTTCACCTCAGCTTGTCAAACCGTTCCCAAAAGCGTCTGCACAGAAAACAGCAAAATCTAACAGAAGAGGCTCAACAAGGATTCTTACTGATACTCCTGAAAAAGATAAAATTCAGCAAGCATTCACGGAAAAAGAGGCAAAGAAGCAAAAGAACGAGTCCAAAGAAAGGAGGACAAAATCTAAAAAGCAGTGGTTGCAATATATTCCAGAAGAAACCGAAAATGAAGATGAAGGATCTCAAAGCAGCTCTTCCTCAACATCTGATGCAACAATGAGTGAGGGATCTGATATCGAAAACAGTGTCAAACATGTTCAGCCCAATGATTTTGTTTTAGTCAGATTTGCAAAAAAAACTTCTGTTGTTTACTTTGTGGGAAAAGTTTTGAAGAAACTGAGCGATGAAGACTTGAAAGTCAAGTTTATGAAAAAAATATTGGGATGTTTTCAAGTTTATATTTCCTGAGGATGATGATATCAGTGATGTCATCATGGAAGATATAATTCTAAAGCTACCTCATCCATTCCAAGCAGGAGGAACAGCAAGAGCAAGCAAACAGTTTACATTTCCCATTGATATCACCTCATATCGGCTGCGATAGATTGCGAAAAACATTCTATTGACCAAAGAAAGATGGTTTAATTATGTGATAGCCTACTGATTGTGATATTCTTTAATTATTGTTCTTTGTTTGAAAAGATTTGATAATCTTTAACTGTTTAAAATAAATGTGATGTCACATAATTCTTATTATTGAAACTGTAATTTTTAAAAATTTTAGTCTCTAGCTATCACTTTTCAGTTACAACAGAATTTGAAAACATCGAGATAACTAATTTCAAGTTTTACATCAAAACTCAGGTAGTCCCTTTCATCCCCGAGGGTGTCCCTTTCAACCCATATGTGGGAATGAAAGGGACACCTGGAGAGGTCTTTAAAAATATGAACATGCTCAACTACCAATATAATAGGATGAATTCACAATATGGTCAGAATAAAGTAAAGGTCTAATGAATCTTTTGCACTAAAAATAAAACTGATTAGAAGTAAATTTTTTCAGTGAAAAATAAAAATATGAATTTTGTCCCTTTCATCCCCACCCTCCACTACAGTATGTTGAAGAGCAACAAGTTTAAAAAAAATTGTCAATAAATATTTGTTTATTAGCACTTTTAAGGTTACTTATTGATCATTCCTCATATATAATGCAAATTACCAGTGGCATTTATTGCAAGACCAGTAAACAACATGTAAGATGACATTTTTCTCGGTACTGCACGAGCCACTGCAATACCTGGTGTTGAACAGAAAAGGCCAACAGAAGCTCTATAATAGAAAATAAACACATCTTGGAAATTCAAAATAACAATAAATTAAAGTATTAATCTAATTTTGATTCTATTACTTAATAATTATACAATTGAATTAAAATATGATATATCATATTTTAAATATTTAATAATAATGATGATAATAAATTGTAGTTACCTGTTTCTAAATAGGAAAATGTATCACACAAGGGACATTGCACAATAAAAAATTCATGGTTAAGCATGTGTATCCAATCTCTGATGATTTTGGTACCCCCACTCTTTTGCATTGAAATACAGAATGTTTATGTTATATATTTCACCAGTTAAATCTACTAATGTTTTCTTGATATTTCCCCTCTTAAAAAACAAATATTTATATTTTAAATGTAGTTCTTTTAAAATATATAACATATATTTTTTTTTGTAGATCAAATATAGGCAGTGTAATTTATTACAATATTTAACATTTTTTTTGTTTACATTAGATAAATGAATAAATCTTATATCAGGATTAAAAAATTTATAATACCAAAATAATCCTGATTTGTCATGCTCACATACCTTAAATTCCTACATAAAATTCTATTATATGTTCTTCAATCTAAAATATCCAAAGTTGATAAAAATTCCTTTAGTTGCTAAATATTAAATTTACATTAATTATTAATTTAAAAATATAAAGTACATAAATATATATTTTACAATTAAAAAAGGAAATTAATTCATTACTATATAAATTACATTATTTTTTAATTAGAAATCTTTAACCAATTAATGTCAAAATACAAGAATTTTGTGAAAGATGTTTCAATGGTTTCGAAGAGTGCAGATGTTGAAAGAACATGTATAGTTTGCTCTAATTATAAATATCAAAAAGTTTCTACTCCAAGTGGAAAAAAGCTATTACTAAATTTCATTCTGATGAAAAATCATTATTTTATCCTGTCTGTATACATGCAAATTTTGAATCAATTTTACAAAAAGTTTCTTCAAACATAGTAAATCAAGTTTTACTAAAACTATTGAAATCGATAAACCTATATGTTATTCAATTATTCATTTGATTTTCA